ACACAAAACCATTGTATAAAAAAATTGTAAAAAGTGTGGAAGACCAAAAGTTTTCTATTATGGCCTATAGGTGTATGGAATATAAAAAAGAGGGTTTATTTTGTAGTATATACGGAAATTCAGTAGGATTTTGTAAAGTTTCATTTACAAAAAAAATCTGCAATATTGCAGTTCCCCGAAGAAAAGTTGCCTCTATTACACCCAGAAGTTTTAAAAATAAAAGAGGCTAAATTTCGGGATGTCCAAGATCTTGCAGCGAAATATGTCCCGCCTGAAAATTTGTGGTTCTACAATAATCTAGTTATTGTGTCTGAATAATGAGCATTATTCAAAAAACTAAAAAAGTTTATAATATAATATAAAAGTAAATAATCTTTCTAATATTAACATCACATTATAAACAAAATGTTTATTTTATTGTTAATGTTATTTTTTATCATTTTTTTATTTGTGTTTTAAGTTTTTATAAAGTAAATGTTATTTTTTTTCGTATTTTAAATATTTTGATTAGCTATCATTACCTAGTTAATTTTTTCTAATTTTTGTACAGTAAAAATTGTTTTATTTCATATTATTTAAATTTTGCTAAACTAGCATACTTGGTTACTTTTTTTTATAAATTTTATAAAGTAAAAATTGTTTTATTTCATATTATTTAAATTTTGCTAAACTAGCATACTTGGTTACTTTTTTTTATAAATTTTATAAAGTAAAAATTGTTTTATTTCATATTATTTAAATTTTGCTAAACTAGCATACTTGGTTACTTTTTTTTATAAATTTTATAAAGTAAAAATTGTTTTATTTTGTATTATTTAAATTTTGTTAAACTAACATTGCATTATATTACAATGTTAAATTTTTGTAAAGTAAATTTTTTTTATTTCGTATTTATATATTTTGTTTAACAATCATACCTTGTTACTTTTTATAATTTTTATTAAATAAAAATTGTTTTATTTCATATTATTTAATTTTTTTAAACTAGCATTGCCTATTTACAATGTTACATTTTTATAAAGTAATTTTTTTTTATTTCGTATTTATATATTATTTTGTTTAACTAGCATTATACCTATATAGATACTTTTTATAATTATTATTAAATAAAAGTTGTGTTTTGTATTTCAAATAATATTTTGTTAATCTTGTATTACCTAGTTAGTCTTTTTTCATTTTATAAGGTACAAACTACGAGTAGTTAGTAAGTATTGTCATATTTATGTTTTGAATATTTTATTTAACTATACTACCTACTATGCTACCTAACGTCCTAACCTATGATAACTAATTTTGTTTAATTTTATAAAATTAAAGTAAGTTGTTTATTTTGTAATGTAAATTAATTTTTTTATACTGGGTAGTAATAACTAGTAACCTAGTAACAACTGTATCWGATTCTGGATGGAGTGATTGATTTTACAATGTGTGTTTTTTAACACTTTTTTATCAATAACAATGCTTCAATTTTGGTTTCAGTACTTTTTCTGATAGAAAAGTGAATCTAGTTAGTACTTTGAAAAGGTCCAATTCCCAATACTTTTGAAAAAATTCACGAAAATTGGGAAAATCGGTGCAGTAGCCGGGTATCTCCGTCTAGTTTTTAGTTAATTAATTATTATGAATCAATAAGTTGTCGTATTTTTCTATACTATCTTTTATAACATAGCTTATGATACATAGTTATATAGCCATATTCATAGATCGTACTAAGCCAATACTTAGTGGGAACTTAGTTTAAATCACCATTTTCATATTCATAAAATAATCTTAATAAGTACTAAGTATATTCTTAGTAAAATCTAATAGTTAGTAAATTYGTATTCATAAATAGGATTTACACATAAAGTTAGAAAATGTTTAGGTTATAATTAGTGAAATCTCAGTAAGCTCTAGTGCTCACTTAAACAAAAGTTATTTTATAAATTATAAATTTCATAATTTAATTAAAATTGATGATTATATGGATGACAATTATGATTTTTTTAAATGAACTAATTCAAGGCAGAGCACAAAAAAACATATAAAAGAAATATTATAAATATTGTTCCTATTAATTTTTACTCGGACAGTGAGTTTTTTAGAAGGTTCCGATTAACCAAAAAAATATTTTTAAAAATGTTAATGCCTATGGTATTTACTGAACAAGAACGTCAAATCCATACAGACCTGAGGGGATTACCTGTGAACAAAATGTGGAAAGTTCTGATAGCATTAAGGTTTTATGCGACTGGATGCTACCAAATAATTTTACTTTTGGAAGTTACTTTAATATTAATGTTTTATTTACTAGATTTTTTTTCCAATTTAGTTGATTAATGGAGATATGTTTGAATTAAGTCAGTCAACTATTAGCCGAATTGTAAAAGATGTGTCTTTGAGAATTGCCAACAATTTAAGGGCGTTGGTCAATTTTCCTTTACCTAATCAAGTAGAAATTGTCCAAAAAAAATTTTACCAAATATCCAAATTTCCTGGAGTTACAATGGCTATGGATTGCACACATATACCCATTAGTAGTCCAGGGGGTGAACAAGCAGAATATTTTYGGAACAGAAAAGGGTGGATGTCATTGAACGTTCAGCTAATAGTAGGATCTTATATGGAAATTTTTGATGTTGTGACCAGATGGCCTGGATCTGTTCATGATTCAAGAATTTTCCAAAATAGTAGAGCATTAGAATTAATGGAAAACGGGTGAATTGATAATATACAACGTTATGATAAAAATAAAATACCTATTTAGAATAAAACAGTTATATAACTACAATTTCAATTTTTGATATAACTTTTGTAGGCTGGTAAAAGGTATATGTATTGCTGATGGTGGTTATGCACAAACACAGTTTGTATACACCCCGCATCCAAATCCAATTACGAATGCACAAAAAAAATATAACTATTCTCATATCAGAACGAGGAATGTGGTTGAGCGAGTAAATGGTGTATTGAAGAGTCGATTCCGTTGTCTGAGTCGCAAGTTGGGAACTGCAATTAAAACATCGAGTAACATATAATAGCTTGTGTTATACTACATAATATCTGTGTCAAATATAAAATAGACATGCATTTAGATGAAGAAGAACTACAGTTTCAATATGAGACTGTTGATGCTGAAGTAATGAATGATGGTGGAAATAATGGTTTTAATATAAGAAACTCATTTATAGCTAGACATTTTATGTAAATTAATAAAGAAATACAAAATAAAGAATATAATACTTTTTTGATCATGACACAACAAAACTAAAAACAATTTTAAAAATCTTCAGTACATAATATTATTAATAAGTAATGAGTAATAGGCACTAATGTCTAATATTTAATAACAAGCTAAACATTTATAAATAAAACAGCAGTCTTTTATAATATTGCCAATTGTATATAAAAAAAAAAACAAAATATAACTTTATAAACAATTCATAACCAGAGTCCTAAATGCAGATGAAGACCAGCCTATCGGAATAGCATTCCGTGTCTGTAGCACAGTTATGGTTCCAAGATTCGGAACAGACGCTGTTAGATCAAACATCAATCAACTCTACGGAGTTAACATTGCTGAAAACTGTAATGATCCAGAAACGGACTTTACTTACTCAGCTTGCCGCGCATCAGACCCAGCTAACCTACCACAAGGATACACCCACCTATGGTCGTCTTACAGATATGTAACAAATTCAAACACGAAGAACAGAAAAGTCAGATTCTACTACACACTCAGACAGTTCTACGGTGAAAACGTTACCTTATCCAGGACAAGAAACCCAGTCCTCCTTTTACCATCTTAAATAATAACCTTATTTTCAGGTAATTTCAAAAATTATTTTTTTTATTGTATAACTTACATAAATTTTGTTTTAACATTTAATAAATAAATGAAAAAAAAAAAAAAAAGAAATATAAAGTTGTCAAGTTTTATGTTTCGCGGACGACATCAAGCTCTTTATGCAAATAAACTGCATTGAAGACAGTCTTAAACTACAAAGTGATTTAGATAGATTTGTTGCTCTTTTTATTAAATTAGGTTTGTCACTGAATCTACCATCATAGGCGTGCGCACGGGGGGTGCAGGGTATGCAACTGCACCCCCAGCGAGTTCAGCTTAGAAATGGATGGATAGATAAAAATAATATTTTTTAAGTTTATGTTTTTTTTCAAACCCATAAATAAATTTATCAATGTTACTTGGTGCAAGTTAAAAAAACAAGTATAGCTAAAAATTATTTCATTTTCATTTTAGATGTAA